TGGCTGCTCCACAGGGACGCCAACACTATGATAAGGTGTTCTAAGGTTCTAACCATAGAGTGTATGGTTTCTAACAGATTCTGATGATGATGATGACTGGTGCATTCATGGGCAATCTAGTAAAAGTGCTATTTTAGCCTTGTGTAATCCAGCATCCCAGCCATATGGGGGAAAAAGGACAAGTTAGTGTGAGAAAAGGCATGTGTGGCATGAGAGTGGGATATTTGCCTTTTGTCAGTATTTCACTCAATGCATAAGGCAAGTCCCAAAAGGAATCGGCCGATGGATCTTGATAATACTGTAATGAAAACTAAAGTCAACTATTCAAGGCAGGACACATATTTGAGAGTTTTAATGTAAAAAAATATATATTAATCTCCTGTACATGTGGTTACTGAAGTTGTGACAAACAGCAGGGCTAACAAGAGAATATTTTGTGGTGGGAGGAAACAGGAGCATTCAAAGTAAACCACACAAGGTCGCATTCAAGACCAGCGGTGTCTTAAACTGAGGCCACTTCATGTGAGGCAAAGTTTCTGTTGAGCTACAGGCCGACACAGTGAAAACAGATGCAAGTTTGACCTGCTCTTTAAGCACATTTAATGGAAAGCAGTGTAGAACAGTATTTACTTTGACATGGTAATGTGGTTGTTCTAACCCCAGCTTTCCTGTAGAGTGACCCATCCTGAATGTTGATCACTGGCTACTTTTCATACAACCTCACTGACCAACACGGGGTCAATCACTACATGCTCAAGCAGTACAGGCGAACATTGCTCAAACCTGCAGAACTTTATATTTTATACTAGTGCAGATTCAGACGTTTTCCAATTTTCAGGGTGAATTTGGGGAAAATGTGCTTAAAATGAGTCGCAAGAGATCTGGAGTATTTCCATTTGATGGAAAGGTACAATCATCAAAAATGTGGAGCATTCCGTTTGAATGTCACTCAGACGACTCAACCCAATATCTAATATATAAGCTTATACAGAAATAAAACTGATATTAAAGTCAAAAAGTATATATCGATGTCAAAAAGTGTAGATGGGGGCGCGCTGGTGGCGCAATGGCTAGGGTGCACGTCCCATATATTGAGACTCTCGTCTCGAGCGGTAGGCCGGGGTTCGCTTCCACCTGTGGCCTCTTTCCGCATGTCATTCCCCACTCTCTCTCCCTGGTTTCCAACTCTATCCACTGTCCTCTCTGCATTAAAGGCACAAAAAGCCCCAAAATAAAAATAATGGACATGGATTTTTATTTATTTATTTATTTATTTATTTATTTACCGTAAAGCCACTTCAGGATTTATAGAGAGGGAAAACTTTGCTTTAGAGATTCAGGGATATGGTTTGGTATTTGTGTGGTGTGGTAAGGATAAGCATGTTGCTGTGGGTACTAATGTAACCATTTTATTCTTTTAACTTTAATCTTTCAATCTTTATTTCTAAAGCACCAATTCATAACAAATGTTATCCAAAGACATTTTTACAAAAGAGCAGCTAAAATACCTTACTTATTGTTATATTATCAAAAGGACCCAACATGAATCCATCATGAGGACTTAGCAACATTTAGCAAAGTTTAAAGTGTGTGTGCGCGCCCTAAGAGGCAGAAACCTCGAACAGAACCATACTCATATTGAACAGTCATCTGCCGAAACTGTGTTGGGCTTGGAATGTGGGACAGAGGGAGTTACAGAAAGAAGGAGAGGGATAGAGACAAACATAGAAACAACAATAAAAAGGTGTTATAGTTACAATGTCAGTAATAATGGTAAAAGTATGTGTAGTATTAGCAGTAACAGCTAAGTGTGATATTAGATGTATTAGTCTGATATTACCATAGCAACTGTAATGATGATGGAACAGGGACGGCTGATTATGTTCATATAAAAGTTGAGCAGTCTTCTAAGATTAACTTTAATATCTATAATAAGGACATAAAGATTATCTGTCTTTTAACAGCTATTTATGTTGCCTATGCTCAAGTCATATTACTCTCTCTTTTTCTGAGGGCACAGCTACTGTCGTCACACACCCAATGTTTCCTGTCCCTCAATATTCATCATGGATTATAGGATGTTTGTCACAGAAGCAGTTGAGCCTGCAGTTCGTGATTAGGTCTTTCCTTTATTTGATACATAAATAGAAGTTTGGTGCGCTTCATAACCTGTTTTGTCTATTTAAAGGTCCAAGTGAATGAATGTAAAGTGATGTAATAGAGCATAACTGAATCAATGGCAATACCAGCATATGCCAAAATAAAGTCATGCTTTCTTGGTGGAATTTTTTCCCAAAGTTAGGTGACAAATCCTAGTACTGTTATCTAAATATTACTCAAAAAGCAGTATTAAGCAGTCCTTAAAACCGACTCAGCTATCACTCCCACTTTAGGGTTAAAAAGGGCAGCTATGAATATAGAGTAGGAGGGTCCAGGGAATATTGGTTAGCCATTTTCAGCACTTAGAATTACTCATTCCCATCATTAAAGGAATTTAAAAAAAAGCAAAGATGTTCTTAAACTTGGCCTTATCTCATGGCAGAAGTGTTGCTCTTAGATGTCGTTGGGGGCATGTGATCACCATGGCTCCCAGATGTCTCCCTATGAAAATCCATCTGGGAGGAAACCTTGGGGCAGACTCATGCCAGAGGTTTTAATAAATCCTGTCGAGCCTTGGGAAGCTTCGGCTTCCCCCAAGAGAGTCTTCAGGTTGTAGCAGAAGGAATGTCTGAGTTCTACTTACTTATAACCCTAGATAAGAAGTAGAAAATGTTGAAGATGAGAAGAATCCACATTTAGAATTTCACATGTCAAATGATCATACAATGAAGTCACAAGCTAACAATACTTACTGAAACAGTAATATGAGGTGACAATGCATGACAAGGAATTCTGGATTTAAAGAAACGTGCAGAACAACATCCAAACCTTACTATCTTATGGGTTTAAAAGTCATGGCAAGGTTTTCAAGTAAGCCCTTTTCAGAGTGCAGTTCCACAACAGCCCGGTAACGTAGCTCAGCTGTCATTACATCTCTGTACATTCATAGGGGCCTGTCTGAATAGGGCTCCTGACGTACTCTCTGCAGTGGGAAGTAAAGTTGTTGACATTTTTCATTTTGTTAAAGCGTGATGAATGTATGGAATTTGTCCTGTTTTACTAGAAGAAGAAAATTTGACTCAAGTGAGGATTGTTGTTGCTGTCGGTGCACTCAATACCTTTCAGTGTTTCAAACACATAGTTCCAACTTAGAAAAGACTGAATGTCAAGACATAGTGCATTCATTCATTCGTCTATGTCCGACCGGGACTTTGTAATATAGCAATAAGTAAGGTCTTTTACCTGCTTTTTGTAACATAACAATGAGTATGGTCTATTTACCTGCACTTTAGTAATATAAATTAACAAAGAGTAAGGTCTTTTACCTGTTTTTGTGTCTTGAGATAACACTTGTTATTAGTTGACGCTATACAAATAAAAATTGATTGATTGATTGATAGATTTTACCTCGGTGAGCCTCCCAGGTATATTTATGGTCACCCAACTATTTTTTCCTACCAGTTTTGCTTAAAAAAAATTCTGGACATAATTGCCATCTAAGACTGATAAACAAGTGGACAATCCGCACTAGCTCTACACCCGTTGCATGTGCCATCTGTATGCTCTGCAGATACACACACATATATATATATATATATATATATATATATTATATATATTTGTATTTTTAGATATACAGTGTGTAGCTCTTCATTTTTCCGGAAAAGCATTGATTGTGGTGGGAGGTTTCATGTATGAACCTTGTAATTCTGTTGATTTAATGCTCTTGAGCTGCCCGTTGCTCCCTGCAAGATGCTCCTCTTTTATGATAACAGACCGGCAAGTGAAACTTTCTTAAAATGGGAATTTAGTTGTTTGGGCCACTTTATGAAATGAAGTGCTGATGAAGATTGTTGAAGGAGCAGACTGGCCGAGAGCGCGGGGGGAGAGGAGAGGAGAGGAGAGGTGCAGGTGTGTGGGTAAGAGAACTGTATTCAAAGCCAGATGAGAGAATTACAGTCTTTTTTAACAAACGCAAAAATAAGTAAGAGTACAATTAAGTTAACATATAACCAAACCTAATTCAAATAGGGCTATTTATATGAACTAATATAAAATATGAATGTCCCTGTGAACAGCACTGCCTTTATTTGTTGTTCACAAGGATCAGATTTATGTATAAAGACAAACACAATACATTTACAAAATAATAGTGTCTTTCTTTTTTCAAACAATCAACCATGTTTCCCAGTTATATCCAACATCAAACATGACATCAATATTTCTAATCAAAAAAGTCACTCTATGTAGCAAACAATGCTATTTGTTCTTCCTTTGGAGACAGTTTTTTAAGTCCAGTCCTGTCTGAAGTTGGAAGTGCAGGTATACCAAACAGGTAACTTTTCTAAGCATTGACAAAGAATCCGTCCCTGATTATTGTTATACAAGTGTTCTCTTCTGTCAGTACTTGTGTATAAGTGGCCGTGGCACTGCACTTGAAGCTGGAACATTCTTAATTTTCTCTAGAGGATAAGTGGAGTGGCAATGGTGCTCAGCAGTCTTCGGAAAATAATTCACTGTTTATATAAGTCATTTATCATGAGCATAAGCAGAACAATATTTCATTCCAGGGCTTGTGTAACCTATAAGACAACTCTAAGAGCCAATAGCAATTTTCCATTTAATAGATTCACTTTGTTTTTGTTTCCAGTCATAAGGCTTCAGAAAAAAAAGAAAGGAGCAGACAAACATTTTGAATTCGACCTGCTAAGGGGATGACAGTGTTGAAGGATTGTGGGTGGAGAGAGAGAAGGGCTTATGAGTTCCAAAGCGGTGTAATCGTCTGTTGTTGTCATCAGAGGTGGCACATGTGTCTCTCTGGCGTATAAAGTATATTCCTGAGCCCCGTTGTTCATAATCATAATAATAAAAAGCGAATCATTTGCATTGTTTCTTTGCAGCTCTCGCTCTCTCAGCTGGCAGCAACTTCACACTACCCGACCGTCAGCCACTCCGGCAAGGCGTTGCCATGGCAACAGTCGTTTCCTTCTCTGCTCCATCCTTCCCCGTTGGCATCGTCCCACCAGCTGTCACATGTCGTAAGATTTCCACCCCCGTAACGCTCACACACACACACACACACACACACACACACACACACACACACACACACACACACACACACACACACACAGCCTTTTTCTCAAAGAAGTACATGGTGAAGAAGAGACAGAAGGGTTAACCAGCAAACAAAGGAACAACGAAACACAGAACATGATAATCCTTCATTGCATTCCCAAGGTTATGAAAACAGTCACTCAAAATAGTTCAAAGACTCACTCACCTTTACTCTGCAGTCTGCTCCAAACCTCATATCCATGGACACACACAGATACAGCCCACACACACACACACACACACACACACACACACACACACACACACACACACACACACACACACACACACAACCTCTAAACTGAACTCCAGACTGCACATGCTTTGTCTTTGGACCTGCTGGAGGTGCTGAAGCTACTCCTTTTCATCTTTATAATCAAAAGAACCAATATTCTTTGACTTGGCTTTTCAAATCTTTTCACAAGGGCTACTTCAATTTTCATAAGGTATTGAGTATCCCGCTTAACCTTGTGTTTGGCCCTATGGGAAAATATGTTTAATCTGCCTTGTCCAGGACCACTTTTAAAATGGTTTACCCTTTTTTCTCACCATATTTGGCCTCCTCGTTGTAGTGTCAGCTCCTATTTTGAAATGCTTGGCATTTGTGCCACAGCTGAAGCAGGCAATTGCAGATTTAAGAGTAAGAGTTTTAAAAGTTTTCTTTTTATAATTCAACCCAGATCATGGCACCCACATGACATCAAAAGCTATAAGGACAGTCTTGAGATAACCTTGATGAAGCTAGAACTCTCTTATTGAAACTATCTGCATCCCTGCAAAGTAGCATACAGATGCAATATGATCTTAGGAAATATCTGAGCGGCTTCACTTGTTAACAAGCTTTATACATATTAACAAATTCCACTCATAGCAGCCAGGGGATATCAGAAATGAGAAAGTCAGCTATACTGGGATTATTTTAATAGCTCTGCTGAATCATTTCCTGAAATAATGTGAGGGTAACCTGTTAGCTCCAGTCGTAGGTGTTTGCTGCTGTGAATCAGAAGGCAGAGTCGTTTTGCTTTGAAAGCCACCTTGTCTTCACTAATTTAGACTATGTTCGCCCACAAGGATGCATATATTAAGAATCCAGCATCCTGCACAATAGGACATATGGTAAAATCTTAGTATAGAGTCAATACTCTGTCACTGTCATACTGGATTCAAACTCAATCTCAGTACAACATAATGCTGGTGTTTTAAGCACTTTGTTTTTCTTTTTTACTGTTGCCCTTCATTAACATGCCAAAGTCGTCCTTCTCCACTCCATTTCTAATGCAAAGAAGCTTTACCAGAATTCTGTTTGTACTGAAGTGATGTTTTAGCACGTCAGTTTTGGTATCTTAATGTCTTTGCTTGCAGAGAGAGAGGAATTAAACACATTTTGATAATAATGTACCTTCTAATGGATGTTTAAGATGCAATGGGACTGAGCCTTGTCATGGATGAAATACAGTTAAAACAGGATTTATGATGTTAACAATTTCAGTGCAGACCTCTATAAAGCTCCTATGAGGAGTTTTTAGCTAGTTGTGAAACAGACTCAATGTTGATACTTCTTTATGAGCTGAAAAAGTCATCAAGACCATCAGCACAAAGATAAACTATTTCTATATGGTTATTTTTAATGTTTGAAAGCCTAGGCTTCAGACGGAGTGATTCACTTCACTCCGACAAAACTGCCACCAAATAAATTAGGATGACATTGTTTTGGTCAGAAAACACAATTTACACATGTTCAAGATGAGATTAGTAAAGAGATAGGATGTACCACTTTGTCCACAGAGTGGTCAAAATTGACACAAACTGAAAGTTCCTCCCAGGAGCTTTCACAGTGAACCATCTCTGAGTACTTTGTGAAAAGTTCTACTGAGCTTGGAGTGAGCTACTGTGCTTCTCAGTGGCTACAAATTGACAATGCTAGCTTGGAGGTTATTTTCTCGCCTAGCGATTGGGATTTGAAACCTTTAACACACAGAACCAGAGTATGATCCGAAAGCGAGCCATAGCTTAAATGCACAGTCTACATGTGAGTCAGATGACCAAAACTAACTCAACCTGCACAATTCAGTTCAAAGTAGAATTGATTCTACGCTAAAAATGTTCCAGATCTGTGGCCCCTAAGGATGAACCCATGAAACATTTTGGTTGGATTTTGCTAGCTTTTTTATAAAATCATTATTTTACTAAATGTATTATTGCCCACATTTCATGGGAATAACCAATGGTTGGAATGCAGATTGATCAGTAGATTGAGAGCTTCACCTTACTCCAAGCTCTGTCTTGACCATAAAAGTCCAGTCCATACTATGAGTAGCCTCTCTTAAGGTCAGAAGAAGGGCCAATTTGAGCCGCCCTTGTGGGCTATACAAATCCTACATTTGAACAGCTGTTTGACTTTGGAGTCCTCAAAAGTTCATATTATACTTTTTCTGGTTTTATATGCCCTTTAGTGTGTTTTCCAAGTGTCCTGTGCATGTTTAGGCACATCTATGTGCAAAAATTCGGAAACGCGGCTTCTCCTACCTCCTCCTGTTAGCTGTAGCATTAGCTGCATGTAATGCTCGGTTCTAGACCCCCTCGATAAAAATTGTCAGTCCGACGTCATTGTCAGTGTGAGATCACTGATCTAAGCCCATTGGCTCGTTGTGGCAAGCCCTGCAGCTCATGTTGAAATTTCCGAGACGCGTGCTGAGCAACTGACCAATAACGACAGAGAGGATCGGCAGACCAATCAGAGCAGACTTGGCCCACGTGGGGTCTAACAGTGTGGGCTCAACAGAGTGCAGCTGACGGACTCAGAACGGAGAGGGAGCAAGGAGGAGCAGTACATGAAAACAGACACTTTTTTATAACTTTATCTATTATGAACGTACAAAAGTAGGTACATAGATTAAATATACGAACCCTATCTCTCCTGATGTTCATTATATGCCTCTCTGCTCACACTGTTAACATTTTAGCATATTGTGTTATTTTACAAACACAATAAGGAGTTATTCATTGTCGCCATCTTATTTTAAAATCCTTTTTGTTTGGCTGGAGGGTAAAATGCTGGACCGGTATTTCCCTTTAAATGACACATTGAAATACATTAGTTCTGATGGCCTTTAGGGATGTGTAGATATTATGAACCCAAGAGCTCAGGGAATTCATCTGCGGGCTATTAAAGTTAAAGCCCCTTTACCTTCTGCTGAACATCTGCCACTGTCGCCACAAGTGGATAATGTGGCATAATGGTAAATGACAAAATAAAGTGTAGCAGTAGCACATGAGGAGTAGAGTCATAAAACCTACTGACTTAAAAATCAGTTACAAAGTGAGATTCATCCAAAACCTTCTAACAATATGGACCATAGGCTACTGAACATACCAAACCAAGCTCAGCTGTAAGTGAAAACTCCTTAGCTCATCAAATTAACAACATATTTATTTTACCACTTGTAAATTCAACATTTCATCTTTAAACAATATATGTTTTATGTCTCGCTTTAAAGCTTCTGGGAGGTGTTTTCGGCTGGTTGTGAAACAGACTCAAATGAAATCTGATGTCTCTTTATGAGCTACAAAAGCAAACGAGACCATCAGCATAAAGAAAGGCGTCACAGTAGGCAATGATTCTCACTGAATGATAGATACATGTGACTGTAGAAGGATGCAATTTTTTTGGTCCGTGAACACTAATTATGGTACGGCTCGATTGGTTCCGACGAGGACACTAGGGATCATACTGGAGCACTCAACTCGCCGCTTGATGTGCGTATACCTGTTTTATGGCGGTTAGTAAATTATTTTATTTTGCTTTCCGTGCCGGAGCCCTTCTCGAGACGCGCCACAAAGATCCCATAATGCATTGCGCGACTGCCTCTCCGGCTCTACATAGGAAATGAATAGAAACCGTTGAGATGCTATCTGTCGTCGGAAACCAGTGGAGCCATACTCTTCTACAAGGAACAAATCTGCAAAGATATAAGATAAACCTCTGGGTCTGAAAAAATTGCCGCAGACCAGAAGTTCCTCACAGGACCTTTAAGGTCATATACTGACACGGTTTTAAAGATGTCTTGAGTTCTGGTGTCAGTAACTTGAAAGTGGTAGCTTATCTCAAACTCTGCAGATGATACATCCTAGTCTGTAGGAAAATGAGTCACTGCCAACACCGACATTAAAGTCATGGATAAGTATTATGCATTATATCCCACACCCCCTGGCTGACATTAGTTTTCAGTTCTGAAACTGTAGGTGAGTTTCTGTGTCATTCTCTTTCCATAAATTGAGTTATTAAATCAGCTTAGAGAATTTATTGTTTAAACCTACATTCGTCCTTGTAACCTAAACACACCTGCTTATCAGAAGCAGTTACTCATTTTCCATCACACTGTGTAGGTTTGATGGCAGCATGTTCAGTTACAGTATAAAGCTATTACTTTTAACCTTTCCAACATGCTTCAGCATCTTAACCATGTCTGGGCATCCTCTAAGGTTATTATAAAACATGCTGCTTCTGTATCAGTGGAGGAACATGTATGTGTATGTTTGAGCGTGACTTTGGTCGAGGTTATTACCAACATGTTTGATGGAGGCTCAATAATGCACAGCCATGCGTGTCCCCTGATAGGCCAACTGAACCGTGCTGCTATTTTGAAGACATGAAGAAAAAAAAAAACACTTGACTGGAAAATGACACCATTAGCACTCCTCAGTTAATTATCTGTGCTAATACCCCTCCAGCTCCATATCTGTCAATGACAATGAGAAGGGGATTAATGTTTTCCTCATGAACATTTTAAAAGTTAAGTTGATCCACAGGCATTAACAGTTCTTTTTCTTTCCAAAATAGCTGATATTGTGAAGAAAAAGAAGGGAAAAGAAAAAAAGAAAAGAAATCACAGTGAAACTGAAGAATGTCAGTAACTGAAATGCAAATTAAAAACAGACCGCCTGAAGTAGTTGACATTTAACTAATCACGTAGGAATGGTGTTGTTGATGCATCCCTGTTTCCTCTTCCCTAATTAAAATAAGAAATTGACTGTCAGTGGCACTTAAATTAAAAGTTACTGCGGATGTGTAGTCTCTCTTATAGCAGGACACAAAGTTAAAGTTCCTCACAGGGGACGATCATGTTCCAACAACACTGCAACACTTTTTTCACAGTTCTTTGGAAGTTTACAGACAAAAGTTATCTGATTCTGTGCTTGTTTTTACAAAGAACAAGAACGTACATTTAAAGAAAAGCATTATTTGAATCCAAATCCAATTTTACAAGTATATTTTCAAGCATGTTTCTTTGGATACTTGCCAATAGACATTTTGAAATTATACTTATTTTTTCCAGATTTCTTTCTGGGCTTATGCCTATATTTCGATAGGACAGAGGATAGATTAGGAAATTGGGAGAGGGAGTGGAAATGAGATGCGTTGAACACCGTGTCCTAACAGCACGCAAGCATTATATATCGCGTCCAAGCGGCAACCTCCGGTCTTGAAAAATGAAGACAATGCAGAAGTGAAAAATCCTCAATGAATCCGGTGATAGAAAGAGACTAGCATACATTTTTTTTACTTTGATTGTCCTTACTATCTTCTTTATTTTGCCTTTTCTCAATATACAGGCAATTGTTCCAGACTGGTTACAATTCAAAGCTGCTTTTAACAGTCCCTCAAATCCGATTGTAAGCGATGACTACTGAAACAGGAGAATAGGTGGCTTGTCTGAGGCTCGTATGTCGATGGCCGGGGCTTTTTAACACCTTCCAACTTGCAGATGAACACTTGAAATCAATGCAGGGCATTTAAATGCACAGAGTAAAGGTATAAAATGGAAAGCTCTTCATGTCCTCTTTGACATATGACCACTTTGTATTGAAGATGTGGTGTAATTTTTAGTGCAAGTGTGGAGTGTGAGCAGCTGGAGTGGTTGGCCATTTTCAGAATCAATTCTAACAACTCCATCACTTGCTCTTTTTTTTATACGGCTGATGTTGGATGCTTGTGAATATAATCTCACCAAAAACAGGCAGTGTAGCTAAGAAACATGACTGAATGAGGGTGTTGAGTAAATACAAATTCATACATAGCAAAACTACGTATTAAATCAGTATCTCAGTGGTGTATATTCAGGCCACCAGAGGCAACACTGCGAGCTCAGACTCAGATTCTCTTTATTGTCCCACAAGAGAACATTTCATTTGCAGCAAGAGCAAACAGAAACACACAATACCCAAGGACAACATCAACACTAAAATCATACCCATTTTAAATCAGACTTAAAATGCTGATTTGTAGAATGAGGAAGAAATATTTAACAATCACTCATTTAAAAAAGGTGTCTATGAATTCAAAGAAAGAGACCTCTTTGTTGAAGTTAACCTTTATTTTCTTTGAGTTAATTTTGTGCATCTCATACTACATTAAACTTAAACACCACCCTTCATTGCAGACAACTTCCCTTGTGCTTTTCTAGCCACTTCATACATTGAACCTTAAACTGTGCTTCCCTTCTGTTATTTAAGCATTGTTGAAGTTCATATTTTTGCTGTTTTTAAATCATCTCTTTCTCTAATAATGTCCTGCGTCTGTATCCTTCCATGTAGGCCCAGGCTGGCTTAGTTGTCAGCAACATTGCCCACATGGAAGTGGCCCTTCAGCCGAGAGGGGACGTTTCACCTTCCGCTCAGGATGAAGGGGACCAACTTGAAGAGCTGCCCTTCACCCCTGTCCATGCCCCCATCATCCCTGTGGGGATGAATGAGCCTAGGTGAGTTCTCTCTATTGTCTGCTTCAGGCATGGACAAAGAAGGTTAGGATTTGCATACACTAGCCTCAAATCAAGGACCTGGGTGCATTCTGGTCTCTCGTATTCCAATTTCTATCTCTGATGTTGAATAATAAGTTGGTAGGGTACCAATATTTTGGAGCTGGCATCACTGGTGAAACATAAATCATAATAGAGGGATGAGCTGTTATACATGAAACACTATTGCCTGAAAGAGACTAAAATTATGATCAGCAGCTATTTTATCAAAGGACATTATCATCTATCCTATAAATCATAAACTAGAAGGATTCTTCTAACTGGGGTAACGTCAGATCCCTCTTCAAACGTAATAAAACTGGCCTTCATAGAGTCATGTCGACCTCCCCATTGTATCATGTGAGGTTGACATGACTCTATGATTGTAGACTATATTAAATGAATTCAGTTTTACCATCCTTAAATCATGCTGCTGCTTTTATCTATCCCGGTGTGTGGACCCTGGTACAGTCCTTCATTACCACAATAGTTCACTGTTTGGCTTTATACAGAAGGATATCGATTGGCTCTCTAATTGGCATCATGTGTTTGCTGGGTAACATAGCAGAGTCCTCGGTAGGTAAGAGCTCAGAGCCAATTTAAAGGCATCATTTTGTCAGCCTTTACATCCCACTTTGGATGATGTTTGCACCATTGTTTGTTAGTGTGAAATGTCATTATTGAATCCAGCAACACGGCTGAGGGTTTGAAGTTGATTTATTGCTACAGATTGCAATGAAACAAGCTCATAGTTTACAATGCAGCTAATGATAGAGTTTGAAGAGTGGAAGCTGTAATGCTGGCAAACTTTTTAGGCGAGTCCCCGAATGACAATGTAAACCCAAGACATAATGGGCACAGTATCTCAAAAACAAGACTTTAAATTAGTGAAAAGAGTCTGTAAAGAAAGAAAAAAAGGCAGCTGGCATTGAAACAGTTTCCCAATCCTGGCATTTGGATCCAGACATGATGCTGTCCAGTTCACTGGTCTGAAACATCCATGCCTCTCCACTCAAAGCCAAAACATCTTTTTGACTGTTTTCAGTGTGGAATGACCCACTTCTTTGAGAAGAACAATGAGTCCTAAAGAAGTTTAATTGAAGTTGCTTTGGGTATCTGATGAACCCAATTTGAAAAGACAAAATGATGGCTTGAATATTAATCTACTGGGCTAAATTAAGATATAACTTTGAATGATAAGGAAGACAGGGAAAGCATGAAATTGACACAGAGACACCAAATCATCTGTCTGCTTCACTCTCGGTGTCTTAATTAGTTTGATCAATTAGTTTTCTTTCACAAATCTGACGCTGTGAGCTGCTCTGCTAACCAACTGGACACATAAAGTTGTGATAAGTTCAAACATTAACATTCATTTTTGTGTGCTTGCACTTTTGCCAGCCATCTGCTCACTGTGTTTATCATACCCAGAGCGTTTGGTGTCAGCATTTAAAATATAAGTTATGAATGTACCCACAGTTGTGGAAAAACAGGTGGCCATCATGATTACAGATAACTGCCAATTATGCTTGAAAATCCTGAGGGAGCGCTTTGGCACCAGCCATGTCTCCCCTGTAAGCGTACTCTTGGAGCTGCTGCTTGACAAATACTGCTGACATCCTTATGCTGTCTAATCAGTGTTTCACTGCAATTTTGTTATGTCAGTTTAACAGGATAAAGTGAGTACTATCTCTCAAAAGATATAACATCTTGCATGAGTTAGAATGGAACTGATCCAAGATAAACTGAGCTGGGTCTGAAATGATAAAACAGCGCAGTATTCAAATTAGACCCAAACTCTTTTTCTGCCTCATTTACGACCACAGATCACCCAATTGAGGCTGGTGCATCAGGGACTAAACACATTACCACCTACTGCTCGTACAGCATCGAGAGTCTTTCCAGCTTTGCAAATGATGGATGTGCCTTCATGATTTAGTGACTTTTCTCTTATTCAACTCTTTCTCCTTTAGTTCCTGCACAGTCAGCTCAAGGAGCTCACTGGCCCACCTTTACTCCGCTGGCTTCCCTGACATTGTGGATCACAGTGGGCAGGTTGCAGAAGTTCTCGACCCAACTGAGCCTGTTCCCTTTGACCCCCAGCGTGAAGAGACTGACCTTCTACAGGGCAACCTGCTGGTGTTCCAGTTTCTGGCCTTTACCAGGTGAGGCCTGCAGTTCTGGGCCACATGGGGTTTTTAGTGCTGCTTTCGAGTGATAGCAGCTGTTGCCTCACAATGGATTTACTGTAGAGAAAACAGGATAGATTGTGTGTGATTACATGCTCCTTAAGCATTACTCTGGATATAATAATTTATGTCTCTAGAACTGTCAGAACTGCCGCGATTGTAAGACAGCATTTAAGTTGCATTTCACTGTGTACTCAGCCACCGGCCATTTAACTGTCTAAAGGAATAGATATATCTTTCATGCATTTTGGTTCACAGCCAAGGACAAAGCCCAGTCTGCCTTGATATTTCTACTTTTTTGTTATGGACTGCAGCCAAATCTTCAATGCACTTCAGTCATGCATGCTAAAAGTCCTGCCAGTCACACTTTACACATATGTCAAGTACATACCCAAACACAGCATGAGACATACGCTCTCAATTGCTGAAAAACACATAAACACATTTCCCGTCAGCACAGGCTGAATAGTGCCTCTGTCAGTGGCTTGTCACAAAAGCCCTGGAGCCAGCGTCCCCTCTGTCAGGGGCTGACAGTGGAGGAGGCTGCTGAAGGATGGGTACAAAACACACAACTCTTTGTGTCCTTCTATCTTGTCATCAGCACTGTCAGCGGTTTGATTCACCAAAGTCTGTCGTGTTCATCATAGACTCTGCACCATCCTGCTATGACTTCTTATGTACCAACCTGAAAACTCTGTACATGGTGCTGTATAAAGGCATACAATGCATATTGTTTCAATTAAATGTGGGGACAGAGAAATCTGCTCAATTTAATAATAATCAATGTGTATAGGTCAAAATATTAGTCCGTAGAGTCAGGGAAGAGATAGCAGACTCATATCAGTGATTTGAATTTATATTTGATATTCCACATGATCCAGGTAATTGTGTTACACATCTCCAGGACTCAAATGTTCAGTTTTATTCATGAAAAATATGTCCCTGGTGTTACCTGATCTTTTAAAGGTGTGTGTAGAAGTTCGTCGACCAAAACGTGTAGGTTACTCTTCTGTGACTACTTTTTGGTCCGGTTGGCCTGTCTGACGGTATTCAGATGTCAATAAATGTCACAATAGTGAATGAGGATGTCAGTGGAATTGAACCTGAGCCGTCCATTATTGCCTTAGTGGGGGAACCAGGATAAAAGAAGAGGCTTAGCAATTAAAGTGGCAGCAAATAGGCACGTCATGGCAGTGCCAAAAAAGACTTGAAATCTTGTTCGGGCCGAAAGACATCTAGGAATTTTGCATGTTTGTTTCACAGTCTGACATTCTGGTTCAACATCAATTTGGAATACTACAGTAGTGTTGAGGGGTTTAGATCATGAAAAAGACAATCAAGACATCATCACAGCAATTCTTTCTCCTATGATCGGATAGCCTAGAGGTTATGACACGCGCCCTATGTGCAGAGGGTGTAGCCATTGCAGCGGCTGTAGGATCTAATCTGGACTTGGTCTTGTTCTACACCCCTTCTCTCTCCACCCAATGTTTCCTGTCACTCTCCAGCTGTCCCATCCAATGAAGGCTAAAATCACCCAAAAATATAACAACAACAAAAGATATTATGGAATTTCCTTTCTGCAAGGTAACTCTGTTATTGAAACTGGTTATAATGTAAGATTATAACAACAAAAATGTATAGCCTCTGGGGGAGTTTGAACTCTGCTGAAAAGATTTATTTGTGTTATTATCAGAAATTATAGGTTATTACAATAATTGATGTTCTGTGAAGGTAAGAAAGTGTTTTTGATTCTTCTTGGATTGTTAAGACTGCCTTAAGGCAACAAGAAGCACAACCTGACACAGTATACATGTGAACATACATTGTGTATCGCCGTGGCTGCTGTAGTGTGGGCTGGTGGTTGCCTCATAATTATGACAAACAGGTAGGGCAGGCAGGAATTTAGACAGCAGCAGCAGCAGCACTTAGGCAAGCAGGGGGCTTGTGGAAAGGCAATGTAATTTCTACCTCTCACCCGGGTGCCATAATTATCCATATTGTCTGTTTACAGAATGAATATTAATGCCGGCTCGTCTGCGAAGATGGAGCATGGCAGAAATTGTTAACAATGGAATATCAGACTATGTGATTGACTGCGAGGTCACACATGGCTCTTATTAGATTCCAATTTGAAATCTCCAGCTCTGATAGGCATGTCTGTGGTTGAAGGGGGGCCTCCAAGCGTTCCCTGCTTGCTTTCAAATGCCTTTTCCTTTTTCCTCATTATTGAATACGCAGTGACTGTTTGCTAATCAGTTCATCAGATGGAGAGAAAGAAGCTCTCCCTAAAACTCACTCGTCATAGTGCATCCTGGGGTGTTATGGCTGTAAATTAAAGAAATAAGTCACAAAGTCAGTAAAGTAGCTGTCACATTCTCTGTGTTGTTCTCCGATGTGTTGACCATAGTCGACCATGCTTCCTTTTTTAATTTTTTTTAAAAATCTGTCTGTCTTATAATCAAAGGACGCTTCAGAATAATGCAAAGCCATGCATATTTTTTATTGCAATGTTATGTAGGCTACAAGAGGTAACTGTGCTTAGACCCGGTTAGTCCTGGAGCAGTGTGAGTGCAGGCCAACGGGGGGAATGGGGAGGGGGGGGGGGGGGGATCGTCCTGAAGCACGGTACTGGACAACAGTGGGCCTCATGTGAGTGCGCCCTTAGTGTGAAAAACCTTAGTTTCACTTTGTCAAAAACTCTTCTTTCTCCATAGCACTTAAAGTGAGCAAGTAAACACACCTTTTTTATTAACCTTTTTAAACCATATGTATATATATTATTTTAATAAACAGAAAAGGATCTTCGTAGGAACGTTCAGAGATCTTATGATTGTTTTTTAAGATACAGCAAAGCTATCCACTTATTATGAAGAAAGGTGTATGGCTGAGTTTGTACCCTCACAGTCAACTGGACAATTTATGGCCACTTCAAGGTGTGATTTATTTCTTTAATTATTATTCTTATTTCAATAAGTGCATTTTAACTTTTAAGAAGCTGTAAATCTGTATTGTTGTCTCTGGCAGGACATGCACGGCATGCATATTAAATTTTTACTTTCCTGGAACTGTCTGCGGTAAATTATGAGCTCAATTTACTCACCCAGGTTTTTTATATTTTCAATGATTAATTTTCAATCTGTACCAATCTACTCCCCACATAGATTTTGTAAAACAAATATCACAGTAAGTGTTGAATTAGTTGTGCAGTTATTTACATACAGCATTCCTGTATTGACCACTAAGTATTTATCTATGAATGATCATTATTTTCTGAGTTATCTTTGATCTGTGTCTCTTGACAGAATACCCAGAGCAGGCGTTGGTGCCGACTGGCCGGACAACATCTATTTCACCTTCCAGTTTTATCGCTTTCCACCAGTCACATCGCAGCAACTCAAATTAGTGACCAGTGGAAAAGTTCAACACAAAGCTGGCAATTCACTTCCCTGTGTCTTGGCCTCCATCAACAAAGATGGCACTGTCAACTCTGGTAAGGATCATCTAATTCCTCTAATTTCCTCACTGAAATGGAGAGTCATGCCTTCAATTGGCCTTTTAGTATGACCCCATAAAAATCACATTAGATAATTCTTTCCTATCAATTTCATTGCAAATTGAGAATTTTAAAGACAGATTGGATAAAGAATAGTTTTCACCTGAATCAGTGTTAATTTAGACTAATTTAGTCTTAGACTTTAAATGGTAAATAGACTTGAGCTTGTATAGCACTTTTCTAGTCTTCTGAATACTCAAAGTGCTTTTACACCGCAGGTCACACCCATTCACACACTGATGGCAGAGGCTGCTATTTAAAGTGACCATCAAAATTAGCTAAACTCATTCACACACAATCATACACTGCCGACAAAGCAGCATGAGCAACTTTGGGTTAAGTTTCTCAAGGACACATGGGACATCTGGCTGCAGGACCTGGGGATCGAACCCCCGACCTTCTGGTCGAGAGACGACGAACTCTACCAACTGAGACCAAAATGCTTATTAGTCTTAGTCTTATGAGTCCTGGTCAGTTTTTCCTTTTATATTTTTATTTTAGTTAGGAAAACTCAAAACATTTTAGTCCAGTTTAACTTGGAAAAAAAAACAGAAGAATTTTTTTTTTTCATTTCTTTAAGTTAAACGTTTTCCATATACAATACTTCATTCAGTCTAATAAATGTATCAGAGCACAAACAAGAGGTTGTATGAGCTGACTTTTTAAACTGATAAACACTTACAACTGTACAATTAATAGCATAGAATAATTGAACAGTCATACTAGCATTACTTTTGGTATATTAACATCAAACTGATGATATTAATATACTTTGAATAAAGGACTTGCATCACAGTGTTGTACTTTCACTACTGCACAGACAAGCTACAGATTGAACCTATTGAACTGCTTTTGTATCACCTACATCTTCATGAAAGGAAACCTTAGCATTATTAGGTTACAAATATTATGATACAATGCAAACTGAGGTCAGTCACTGCTTGGCCACGCTATCGTTAGCTCGTAGACAGCTCATGCATGCTACTCAGAGAACCGGGGTTATGAAAGTTACCTAAAGTTATATGCTCCACCTCTTCTTCTGCTCTCTGCCTGACATCTCATACCTCTCCTTTCTCATACTTGTGTTTTTAAAGAATGATAAGATAAACGGTGGGAGGTAATATCATGGATTTTAAATGTTCGACTGACCACCACTAACATTGTCCCATCTTGTCTTGTTAATGAAAAAAAACGTACGCGCTTTCAGAGTTTTGTTGTCAAAGATCTATTTTTAGCTCATTAACATCTCGTCGTTGTACATTATTGTCATAGTTTTTGTTAACTGAATTATCACTGAATTTAATAATATCCTCTGGCTTTCATGTTTGTTATACTAGTATGAAACTGCAAGGACTTGAAACGTGTTTGAGATGTCTTAACTATCTCAGTGAACAAAATTGTTGATGTAAACTTGACTGTTGTTTATTTGACTGCTCTCCAGGTTTACAGAGTAAAATCAGTTTCTACAAACTGCAAGCCCTTTCTACGATACTCCATACATGTTCTCTGATGCTCAGGCACTTCCCTTTCAATCAGCCGAGCAGGCGCTGATTGATGTCAAGACTATTCATGTAGCAGCTAATGAAATGGAAGAGATATTACAGCTTCTGACAGAGCGTGATATTGAACACACAAACAACCCCCCCCCCCCCCCCCCCCACCTACACCTACCCATACTCAGAATTCCCCAGACATACACCCCAGCCTCACTCTGTCAATATTTCTCTATCTGTCTCTGTATCTCTCTCAGTCTGTATCATCCAGGGTGCACTTCCACAAATCCCTCCCACATTCAGACAAATCCTTCTATACATTTTACAGCTGGATGTCTTTCCACTTATTTTTCGTTTGGAACAGGGTAATCTTTTTTTCTGTTTGTTCATTCTCAGATTCAATCTTTGTTAACTCCAGGTAACTGAGTGCTAAGGTATGCTAAGCGTTTCAAAACTTTACCTGCTGAATCAAAACTACTATCATTTATATCTCAAAATAAGCTGTAAAGCTTTATGCAAAGGTTATAGTTCAGAAACCTAAAAATATTATTAGGCTGCCATCCAATCTGCTTTTATTGTGCTGTGATGCATGACATACCCGAGACCAGAGTGCCCGAGACCGAGACCAGCCAAGACATTTAGGGAATCCAGACCGAGTCAAGACCAAGACCAAGGCAGTGGTAGACTGAGACAAGACCAAGACCGAGGCCATAAATATCACTGAAAAATTATCATCTTGTATGCAGCGGGCGTGTCTTGAAACGACTACAGCATACTAATGGTGTTTCTGCAAGGCTAACAGAGCTAGCTATAGCATCCTCACCTGGGATGTCAGCCCTTGAGATCCCCAGTGACATTCCCGGCTAGGAATATTAACTCAATCATTATTATCTCAATTTTGAGGGATCATTTGAGACATGTTTCCCCCTCCTTTTTCCGTTTTCTGTTTAAAAGTTAAAGTTGTACATTTTCACCTGCTGCATGATGGGAAATCATTTCAGAAGGAATCTGGTTGTTGTCTTGAAGTTTGTCACCATGCAAGATTCCCAGTCTTTGCAGATTGAGATCTTTGCATTGTGAGATGGTGTCAGACATGAGTCTTTGAAAAGTTTCTAAAAGTCTTCTAGTGTATGGAAGGCGTAAGTTGTCAATCCTTAAAGCCCTTCTGTCACACATTTGAAGCCCTTCTGTCTCATTTCGTAGGGTTATTGTGAAGGTCTGTGACCCAAGAAATATGGCAAAATAAAATTGTCTTGTAAAGTATTTAGATGTTTGCATTTATTTTACTCAGTGGTTTGTGATCTTCATACCCTGAGGAAGTATGATATGCTACTGACTTTGTTCTTCATTAATGAGATGGGCTGGTTGTTATCAGTTTGGCCAATTATTCAAATGAACAGTCATGTTTTTTATTCAGTCTTGTTGTCATTTCTCAATCCACAAATGATCCCAACACCATGCTCAACCAAATCAGCTTTAACCATATATTGTAAGGTGTGATATGTAATTTGATGTGTTGCATGCTTAAATCCAACTTCTGTGGCAACATACTTTAATTAGTGGATTCCTTCAATGACATTTAATGCATTTCCAACCTCTATAACCTCTTCCCATCATAGATATGAAATCTACCCTGGACTTTTGATTACTCGTATAATTGAACATTATCAGCACATTAACTCGCTAACTCTGTCTTCACACACTCAAAGACTGCGAGAGGAGTGAGACACTCTTTGGCATCCTGCTGTTTACCTCAAGTGAGATGGCTCATTTTTCCAATTATGTGAAAGCAGTGTAAATGTTCTGTGGTTGGTAGTAACAATTAAAAGAATTCACCAGAGAGCAAAATAAGTATTTTGTTTTCCTTGTTAAAGTAGAGGTTTTTTTTCTATTACAAGGCTTTTTACTTTGAAGGAAGCAGTTGTACAAACTGGACTGTCTGAATAGCTGACAACAGATCAATATGTAAACTGTGTTATTTTTAGTAATTATTGGCCACGGCTACAATAATCCTGTTTATGTCCTGCTCAGCCAGGTTCCACCCACGCAGCTGTTTTAATTTGCTTCGTGACTAGAACTTTCCTCAGGACTGTGTGGGTGTACAGACAGTGCTTGATTGACGTGTCTGTAACTTCCTATTTGTCTTTTGTTGCATCTGATGAGGAGAATTCAGTTTGAAAAGAAGCCAGATATTCGTCTGTGCCACAAACATATTGACTCCTGAAAAAAGGCATTAACTACATGTATACTTTCTCAAAGTTATTCACCAAACATGTCTATCTAGTGTTTCTGCATTTTGGTTGTATTGTTGTACAGTCCCAAAACTGAGCAGGAACTCAAGTTCTTCCCTTTTTTTGTCACTACTAGAGTCATTACCTGTTGAGAAAAGCACAAATTGTCCTCAACTTAACTCACAAAGGTGGATCGTTGCAACTGTCTGCACCACCTGGACATAACTTTAAAGGACATCTACAATGCTGATCCATATTTAAATACATGCATAATGTTACAATGTTGGTTGTCTACTATACCTCTGCAACATTTTTTTAAAACACAAGATACACAGTTGTTGGCTAAAACCCCGGACATCGTTTCCTGTTGCTCTGAACTTGAGGTTATGAGAACTTAACGAGACTTGGCCAGAACCTGACTTCAGGTTCTGCCAAGTATTAGAGCAAAGCATGGTGCAAAGTTGTAGGACATGCCTTCCCAGGCAGCTCTTTTAAGGACATGCCAACCCAGACTCATTTAAATTTCCCTGCCTCTGCAAACAGAGCTAACCAATCGAGGAAAGTGGGCTTGTGGGGAAGGGGGCCTTACGGCCAAATTTCACCAGATGCGTGTTCGGCAGTGTTGCCAGATTTGTACCATAATTTTGCCCTCTGTACGATCAATAATTGCAGAAAATGCCAAGTGTACAATAATTTGGCAATTTCAATATTTTGTATGTGATTTGAGAATAACCAATCATATCAGCATGACTGAGACAGGTCATACACCATTCAGCACCTAACCAGCACACCCGCCCCTCTGCTGCCAGGCTCTGACTGCCAATCAGAACATCACCTGATGTCCTGCTAAATGGACTTGAGCTTATATAGCGCTTTTCTAGTCTTCCAACTACTCAAAGCTGGGGATCGAACCCTCGACCTTCCGGTTGAGAGGCAACGACTCTACCAACTGAGCCACAGCCGCTCATGCCTGTGGTTCGTTATGCGACACAGACTGAAGAAAAATGCATGTTACAACAACTTAAGATGCTACTAGCTCAGCTACAGAGCAGCTAGAGACGGAGCCGTTTGCAAAAAAAATTACACTACAGTTTGCTCGTTTTTATTTACATCAATGCGGTGGGAAGGGCATAATTTTGCCTTTTAGTCTGGTATTTAGCACCTTTAAGTCCTTTAGGGGATTGACCTAATTTATGTATCATTTTACAACATG